CTTTCTTTCTTTCTTTCTTTCTTTCTTTCTTTCTTTCTTTCTTTCTTTCTTTCTTCCTTCCTTCCTTCCTTCCTTCCTTCCTTTCTTTCTTCCCTCCCTCCCTCCCTCCCTCCCTCCCTCCTTTCCTTTCCTTTCTTTATGGGGCCAATACTAAGGCTTGAACTCAGGGTCTAGGACTCCCCTTAGCTTTCTTGATCAAGGCTGGTGCTCTACCATGTGAGTCTCAGCTCCACTTTCAGCTTTTTTGGTGGCTAATCAGTACCAAGACCCTCATAGACTTTCCTTCCTGGGCTGGCTTCAAAACAGGATCCTCGGCCTCTTGAGGAGCTAGGATTGCAGGCATGAACCACTGGTGCTGGTTTTAAAAATTAGACTCTATCATTTTTAGCATGCCTTCATTTTGACAAACTCTTGCCCTGGTAAGTATTTCTGTCCTGCTGTATGTGAAAGACATCATGTGGTCCAAAGCAAGCAGGAAGTGCTGTTCCAGAAACTGCATTTTTCTTAAAGCTCACTCAGCTTTGTCACATGGCCAACAGATCGTCTCTGAGCTCAGTGATTTCTCTTTAAGACAGGAATCATAGATTGTCTTGCTGTATACATGGGTCCCCTTCTGTAGAAATATCCTTTCTGCATCTCCAAGTAGACTTTGAGAGAGCTGTCTTTCTCCCTGGCTGCGGAACTGCCCATGACCATTGCTTCTAGAGAGACAATCTCAAAGTCCAGCGTTTTGGATTTCCTTGGAAAGAGTGCCAAATCAATAACTAAAGCTTTATAGCACAGGGAACAACAAAAGGGGAAGAGAACCAAATTGCCATCATAGACTGATAAATTGGAAATTAGGGGCTGATAACGAGAAGGAGAAGGTAATAAACCCAGAGGAACAAAGGTCACTGGGTTTTGAGATTGCTTAGCGTCCGAGAGAGGTCAGTGCAAGCCTCTGCTCTGTGTGTGTGGCGGGCATAGGAGGCCGCAGCTTCCTGGGGTACTGGTTTGCGGTGCTAGGTGCACAGAAGGTAGAGCTCTCGTCTGACTTGTGAAGACCGCATTCTGCTCTGCCAGGCCGTGGGCAGCCCTCTGCCTACTGAGTCACTCCACAGCGTGTGGGGCACTTTCCCCAGGAAAGTCATTTTTCTTGTTTACTTTCTTCAATCTTACCTTTTCTTAATTGTTGTTATAAAGGTGATGCACAGAGAGGTGACAGTTACGAAAGTCAGGCAAAGAGTGCATTTTTTTTTTTTTTGGTCAGTCGTGGGGCTTGAACTCTGGGCCTGGGCGCTGTCCCTTAGCTCTACAGCTCAAGGCAAGCGCTCTACCCCTTGAGCTACAGCACCACTTCCGGTTTTCTGGTAGTTTATTGGAGATAAGAGTTTCATGGACTTTCCTTCCCTGGCTGGCTTTGAACTGCAGTCCTCAGCTCTCAGCCTCCTGAGTAGCTAGGATTACAGGCGTGCGTGATCTACCGGCGCCCGGCGAGTACATTTCTATTTGGACAGCGCCACTCCTTTTCCTCCCTCTCTCCCAGTTTTTCCCTCCCGTCCCCACCCACAAAAGTTGTGTGGTTCGTTTCAACAGAAGGTCCCCGGGAGCGATTTTCGCAAAGGCAGAGGCTGGCTGTATTTATCTTTTCTGCTATTCCAACCCAGACTAGACACGCACACAACAAATACCAACTTAATGAGATTCTTGGAGTTGGCACAGGTTTCTGGGATGGAGTGTGTGTGTGTGTGTGTGCGCGCGCACGTGCGTGCGCGTGCGTGCACGCATGTACGTACACATAGGCACGTGCACACATTCCCAGATTCTAGGGCTTGAATTCAGGGTCCCACAGTCTTACTTAGCTTTTTCCACTCCGTGTGGCACTCTACCACGTGAGCCACACCTGCACTTCCAGCATTTTGCCAGCTAACTGGATATAAGAGTCTCTTGGATTTATCAGCCCCAGACTGGCTTCAAATAAGGATCCTCAGACTCAGCCTCCTGGGCAGCTGGGATTTCCGGCCTGGGCACCGACTGGGTGGAGAGGATGTGCTTGGGGTGGAATGGGTGGCTGGTGGAGGTGTGGTGGTAGCTTCAGTCTGTGCCCTGGACTTTGCTCTGGGGTGGGTTGGCAGGCATGCGGGGGTGACCAGAGGTCTCAGCCGTCCTGAGCGAGCGCTGCTGCTCACCTGGGCTGCGGCCTCCGAGCTGAATCTCTGACTTTTCTACTGGGAGCACCTGTTGTGTTGTGGTTTATGGATCACCCCAAACTATATGGGGGGGGCTCTCACTGCTTCACCTGACCTCACCTTTACAACTTTTAGCTAAGAAAACTGGGCATAGAGGGAACTGGTGTGGCCATGCTATCACAGCTAGAAAGCAAATTCTGGTTTGGGGTAGAACACACCCGGAAGTGAGGTCAGCCACAGACTCTTATCACTGTTATTGTATCAGCACCAACAAGCCAAAGTCCTTCGGAATGGGCTCTGAAAAATGAATGTGACAAAATGAGTTCAGTGAATATGGTTCGGAAAATTCTAGGTCCTCTTGGTATCATTTGGTGTCAGCCTAGACTTTGGTGAGAGCCACGGGGGAGGGGGGTGGGGCAGAGAAGAATTCTTGATCATCCCTAGGATCTGAAAATGGAAAGGAGCCGTGCGGATTCTGCCAACTTAGAAGGGTCATCAAAAACGAATCCCTTAAAAATGTGACAGATCCAGGCGCCGGCGGCTCACACCCGTCATCTGAGCTTTCCTCCCACCAGGCCGGCACTCTGCCACTGAAACCACAGTTCTGCTTCCAGCTTTTTGCTGATTAATAGAAAAGTCTCGGCCCGGGCTAGCGTTGTACTGTGATCTTCCGATCTCAGCCTCCTGAGTGACTGGGCTTACAGGCGTCCTGCTCTCAACGCCAGCACCGTGTGGACTGTCCAGAACACAGGCGTGGGGTGGGCCTGGAGGGCCAGAGGGACCCGGCCTGAGATGCGTGTGTGAATAACCCAGTGCTTCTCTGCTTCATAGCTGATCCTGAAAAGGAGACGCTTGTTCTTGGCCCTATTTTTCAGCAAAAAAAAGAAAAGAAAAAGAATTGAAATTTATTTGGGAAATGTCTGCAAATCCTACACACAGGGCAGGCTGACCCCGAGCACCTGCTGGCTGACTGTTCTCTTCTGAGCCTGCCAGGCTGGGCTTTGATGGACACTATGGCTGTTTTCCTCCCCTGTAAGCCCCTCAACGCCGCGGCCTGTGATAACGTAGCTACAGCTGTGCACTTCCGCGCCAGGTGTTACTCTCTATGTACATGACTGCCGGCTGTTTGAGGTCTCCCTCAGTCTGTTGAGGACTGTACCTGTAACTCCCTGGCCCCGCCCCCTCCCCCATACCACAAAGTGAATAGCCCTGTTTGTGGTAGATAGGCCGTCTAAGAGCCCATCGAAAGGAGGTATTTATATGTTGCCTCTAAAGTCCAAATGAAGTAATGATTCACAGAGAAGGGAAGCAAATTCTGGGTGCATTTTATAGTCACCCTTGGTGGAGCTATCTTAGCTTATAGTGGAGAATTATTCAAACAACAACAATGAAGGCAATGCATAACTTATCTCTTTTGTGTGTTTGTTTCTTCGTTTTCTTTTTGGATTGCAGGTTGATGACCAAATGAAGCTGCTTCAGAATTGCTGGAGTGAGCTCTTAATCCTGGACCACATCTACCGGCAAGTGGTGCATGGGAAGGAAGGCTGCATCTTCCTCGTTACTGGGCAACAAGTGAGTGTACCAAAAAAAAAAAAAAGTGGGGGGAAAGCATCTTTTTATTAGGCTTGTTCAGAACGGGAGGGATTTAACTGGGTCAGAAGCACTCTTGTGCTTTGAATGGGAGCCATTGGCTGCAAATAATTTAGCGCTGATCGCTCGCTGCACTCAGTTCCTGCTCTGATGATTACAGATAAACTTGTAAAAGCAAACATAATCAGGAGCGCGCTGTGCCTCCAGTTTGGGGGGGGTGGAGCGGGAGTGTGGCGTGGATGGAGAGCTATGCTTCCAACAGTCAGAATAATTGCACAGCCAGGATCCACAGAGTATCTCAGACTTCCCGCCCCCCCCCTCAGCCTTAACGTATTACGTGTGTTGTTAACCCTTGAGAACCCAGAGAGATGGCAGTGGCCTTATCATATTGAAATAGAATTGGTAGAGTTTAATTCAAATGTCACAGTCAAAACACTTAAGAAAAAAATATCGTTAGGCCTTCCTCTTTTTGTTGTGTTGTGTTGCCAGTCCTGAAGTTTGAACTCAGGCTCTGGGTGGATGTGCTGTCCCTGAAGATTTTTGCTCAAGGCAAGTGCTATACCACTTGAGCCACAGCTCCACTGTCAGCGCGTTTGGTGGTTCGTTGGAGATAAGAGTCTGATGGTCCGGCTGGGAAGGTAGCTCAGTGGTAGAGTGCTTGCCTTGCATGCATGAGGCCCTGGGTTCGATTCAGCACCACATAAGCAAAAATAAAAAATCCGGAAGTGGCGCTGTGGCTCAAGTGGTAGGGCACTAGCCTTGAGCTGAAGAGCTGAGGGACAGCGCCCAGGCCCAGAGTTCAGGCCCCACGACCGGACCCAAAAAAAAAAAAAAAAAGAGTCTGATGTTGCCTTCCTTCCTAGGCTGGTTTCAAACTGTGATCCTCAAATCTCAGCCCCCTGAATAGCTAGGATTGAGGATTTAATAGGTTTTAGTTGAAGAATGACACATTTCTTAGAAGTCTTCAATTTCCATTTCCTGCAAAATAAATGGAATAGGCCTCTATTTTCCCCTATTTTAATCCTGTCACAGTAAAATAAATACTTGCTAAAATTTAAAAAGGGAAATAGATATTTATTGCTGTGGAGATTTGAGTTTAGTGGTCAAGTGCTTATCTAGCACGCACATCGCCCTTGGGTTGATCTCTAGCAGCACAAGGGTTAAATAGCATCCTTATTGACCATCCTACCGTCGGCCAGTCATTGTTTTGAGGCGTTATCCTATATTAGTAAGAAGTAACTGAACGTTAATAGAGTAACAGGTCAAAGGTATGAGTAGTGTCCAGGTGGCACTCAAGATACCTGTGTACATTTGTGGATGTGTGTTGCAACGTGGTCCATGGATTACTGTGAATAAGATGATTGGTTTGACCTTAGCAAGAAAGAGAACTCTGAAGACTGTAGTTCAAAGCCAGCCCAAGCAGGAAAGTCTGTGAGTCTTGGAGAAAAAGAGAGACTGGTATGTGATATGTAGGATCGTGGGGGGCGCGGGGATGGACTCTACCAATGGACCTACCTTGTATAATTTGTGCAAGCCACTCTGGATTTTCACCTTCTTCTCTACACCTGGTAGTAAAAGAACGCAAACAAGCCACGGTGGCTTTGGCACTCAGGCCCCGTGGATCTTTTACGTTGGGCCATAAATATTTATGTCCTGCAAAACCACAGCAGTGCATATTTGGAAATGAAAGGCCATCTCCACACCATTTTCTGTATTATCAATAAATCACACTTCCCCAATCAAATGAAAAGCAAGCACTATTTCAGAGTCAATTCACGCATCCCTGTCACTGTCTGGTCTCCGCTCTCTGGCCCGTTGGAGAGAATAGTTTTGTAGATTTTAAAAACGAAATATGGGCCGGACATCCTGGGCTTGTAATTTTGGGGTTTGGCATTTTCATGCTGGGACCCACGGCTTTAGAAGAAGTGTTCCCATCTCCGAGTCCAGTTTCTGGTATGCCTCCCCAGCTAGCCACCACATTCAAAAAGTACAAGACTCAGTTCACAAATGGATTTCCGTTCCCTTTAGAACTTTAAGAAATGAAAATGGACCTGTGTCATTCCATTCCAGCTCTTTCAAAATAGTCTTAGCAGTGTGTTGGTGGCTCACGCCTGTAATCCTAGCTATTCAGGAGGCTAAGATCGGAGGATCACGGTTCAAAGCCAGCTTGGGCAATAAAAGTCCACAAGACTCTTTATCTATAATAAATTACTCAGAAAAAGACAGAAGTGGCTTTGTGGCTCCAATGCTGGAGCACTAGCCTTGAGCACAAAAAGGCTGAGGGACAGCACTCAGGCCCTGAATTCAAGCCCCAGGACTGCCCCTCCCCCCAAAAAAAATCCGAAATTCACATCTTATTTTGCCTTAAGTGCTGCCGTGGGTGAAGGTAATTAATTGTTTAAAAAGTCTAGAAAGGTGTATTTCTTGCCTCTGATTTTCACAGCCAGGAACAGCCACAGACTAAATAGTATTCATGTATTTACTATCAATTGCTGCCCAGAACAGAAGGAAAGGCAGTCTGGCTGAAAAAACCTTCCCTCCTCAAACCTCTCCTGTGCTGGGACTCTCCTGGCTGGGGTGTGGGTGTGGGTGTGGGTGAGGGTGTGTCCCTAGGTCCCGATTGTAAATCCTATTAACTATGTCAGCAGGAGCTGGTCCCTTACCCCCCAAACTCCAATGTTCTTATCTGCTCAGAAGGGATTAGAGTGGTGTCTCCTAGAGAGCTGTATGATGATTATATAATAATTACAGGGAATAGTTCCACCCACGCCTGGCAAAATCAGAAAGCATTGAAACTAAGCATACATAAGACTTGACTTAGGGACTTAACAGATCTGAAGGATAAATTATTATTTTCTTTTTTTTTTTTGCTGATAAACTAAGGCAAACGGAGGTAAAGCCGATGACAAAAGGCACAAATACAACTCATAAATGGCAGAACAAATGCTCAGAGCTAAATTGGGTGATGGCAAAAGTGACTGAGAGAGTTTATTCATTCATCAGCTGTACAGGCTTTCTGCCTGCTAGGCGAACTCTCTAGCCTAGATACCTACCCTCAGCCCCTTTTTTTTTTCAGTTTGTTTGTTAGGTAGGACCTAATTTTATTTGTTGTACACCTCTGTAGCAGCTGGCTTTGCAGCTTATACTTGTTTATTTTGAGATAGGATCTAACTGTATTGTCTAGGCTGTTCCCAAATTTCTGAGTTCAAGTGATCTCCTGTCTCAGCTTCCTGAAGAACTGGGGCTACAGATGGACCTCCTTGTGCTCGGCTCAGAGTTTGTATTCTTAGACACACAATATCCTACTTCTGTGGAACTCACAGTGTTACAGAGTTGATCTTCACCCAGACTTGTAGTTTGATCTTTGTGTCTATTTCAGTGCATCAGACCCTACCGGCTCTTCAAGCACAATAGTCATTTCTCTCCCATGGAAACGAAATGCATAACTTTTTTAATGTTCTTTTTTAGTTGTTGGAGGGTTTTTCTTTTTTGGAGGGGGAAGATGTGTACACACCCTGCTGAGATAAATTTCAATTATTAAGCTGGGGCCAGTGGCTCACACCTGTAATCCTAGCTACTCAGTAGGCCGAGCTATGAGGATCGCTGTTCAAAGCCAGCCCAGGCAGAAAAGTCCCCATGAGAGTTTTATCTCCAATTAACCACTCAAAAACCTGAAGTGACGCTGAGGTAGGACACACTAGCCTTGAGCACAGTGAGGCTCTGGGACAGCTCCCAGGCCCTGAGTTCAAGCCCCACGACTGGCAATAATAATAATAATAATAACTTTCAATTAATCAGAAGCAATGTCAATGCAATTACCACTTACCTAGGTAAAATTATTTGAGTACTTAGAAAAAACTAGAAACCAGAAAAGTATTACCACAAATGCCACTACTCCAAATGTATTGTTTTTGTTAGAATTCTCTTCTAAGTGTTAGAAACTTCCTGTATTTTACATATGTAGGGTTTTTTTGTACATTTTAAAATAATCTATATGTCATGTAGACATATTGGCATAATGTTTGCATGGTTCTATGTGGACTGTGAATTTTGGGGGGGGGGTCGGCTGTGGAGCCTGAACTCTGGGCCTGGGCGCTGTCCCTCAGCTTTTCAGCTCAAGGTTAGTGCTCTACCACTTGAGCCACAGCTCCACTTCCAGCTTTATCCACTTATGTGGTGCCGAGGAATCGAACCCAGGGACTCATGCATGCAAAGCAAGCACTCTACCACTGAGCCACCTTCCCAGCCTAGACTGTGGATTTGAAAGCCTTACGGCAGTCTCTCTCCACGGTATATGGAGTTTCTTATGTTGATGTCACGGGGAACGAGAGTCAATACTATGCTAATCGAACATGCTAAATGCCCCTACAGGAAGCTTGGTCAGAAGTTACCTATAGGTGAGAAAGAACATTTTTTTTCTTTCATGTAGTGGACAGCTCTTTCTGCTGGGCTGATAGGTAAAGGCAAATCAGGCCATGAGAGGAGGGGACAGGGAGACACAGCCCTCAGGTTGGTAGAGATAAGAGATGTCACTCCAGTGTGTAATTAAGGGCATGTAGGGGCCCGCTGTGTGTATACTTTGCCATAAGCACTTTCTTGGGTAAGGCCATGGCTCAGCTAGGGTGCCAGCCAAGTTCCCAGGAGGTTGGGCATTCAAAGCTGGCCAGGTGACTGAGCCCCCCCCTCTAGAAGGAAGGGGTGCCTTCTCCCCAACAATCAGGCTGATCATTCCCTCCTTGGCAGTCTGAGGCAGACACACCAGCCCTTCAAATCCTTCCAAAGGGGAGAATGGCTAGGATTTGCTGGATAAAACTTTAACTAAACTCCACAACCTTTGGTAGCCCCACCCCGGGGAATCCAGCACTCCTGAACGCTCGCTAGACCTTTCCATTTCCTGGTCTGCTTGTGGAACGCACTGTCCCGAGATCTCTATTGCTGGGTCTTCACCATCTCGGAGGATGAGGTCAGATTATGCCCCCGTCAACAAGAGCAGAGCCCAAGTACTGACAGGAAGTGTCACCAGTGTCACCACACAACACTATTGCATCACCTCAAACCCTGTGGTGTGCGTGTAGACCTTTGCTTACACTCAGGGATAGAAAATCCCAGACACTCAGGTATCATCAGTCTCCTGGCTTTCTCCTACTCAACACATCTCACTATAACTCATGGATTTATTATAATACAAGTGGAAGAAGAAAAGGCCTAGGCTGGATTTGTTTTGGTGAGGGATAGTCTCTATGGATGCAGCTCAGCGGTGATGTTCTTGGACAAAAGAAAAAAAGAAAGGAAGGACAAAGGAAAATAGATGAATACAAGCTTAAAGAAAAATGGGGCCAACAACTAGATAAACAATGCCACTTTTCAGCTTATACTGAATGACTTTATTAAGTGAGAAGGAAATAGTAACGTGTGTTTGTTAACTTGTGTGTTCTGTGCTTGTACTGGGGCTTGAACTCAAGGCTTCACACTCGCTCAAGGCTGGTGCTCTGTCGTTTAAGCTTTTTGCTGGTTAATGACTGCCTCAGCTGGCTTCCAATCACAGTCTTCAGATCTTAGCCTCCTGGGTTACTAGGATTCCAGCTGTGAAACTCCAGCACCAAGCAACATCTATTTAATTTAATTTTTTGTCAGTCATAGGGCTTGAACTTGGGATCTGGGCGCTGTCCCTGAACACTTTTGCTCAAAGGCCAGTTCTCTACCACTTTGACCCACAGCTTCACTCCTGGTTTTCTGGTGGTTCATTGGAGATAAGAGTCTCACAAATTTTCCTGCCTGGACTGGCTTTAAATAGTAATCTTCAGATCTCAGCTCCCTGAGCAGCTAGGATTACAGGCGTGAGCCACCAGCGCCCAGCTCAACAACAACTATATATAACAAGGATTTTTTTTTTCTTATCCAGTGGTTTCAAAACACGTGTGTGTGTGTGTGTGTGTGTGTGTGTGTGTGTAAATAACAGAGGACTTGACATGGGGTCAGATTGTACTATTTGCATATTGCAGCTAATTAACCACCTCTGCAGCAGTGTCCTGAGGGAACGGCGCAGTGGCAGTGTATTATCTTCTCTTACTGTGTGCCATATTAAACCGACAGGCACCTTACCATAGACAAGTCCTCAGATTTTTCTGAGATGAGAACCAAGAGCAATTTCGCTAAAACTGTGCCCTTCTTCATGATGAGTGGAATTTCTCCAAAGGGGATATCGGCTCGGCGTATTTCTTCAATATCTCCCTTGGATTTAATGGCATAGAGATTACATGTAAGAGGGCAATAAATTCATTTTACTAAGTACATAAAAGACAAGGCCAGCTGCTCCTGAAATGAGCACAAACTCTGCATTCAACAATGAAAATATAATTATGTTTGCAATAAAATGTTAGGACGCTGCAGACCTGGGTTCTGTTTCTGGGATAGATCACCCCTTCCTCTGTTTGAGCCATGCAGTTTGATAAATTATCCTTGAAAGAAATGTGACCAGAGCTCCTATTTAATAAGCATGTTGGAGCTTTCAAATTAGCATGTAAATAAATGTTAGGCTATAAAGTTGTTATTGTGCCAATTGATTTCTGAAGGTCCACTTCACTGACAAATCTCCATGTAGAATCCTGGGCCATCTGAAGATTTCTTTCAGTCGATAGTACACTGTATTTTCAAGTATGAAATTCGAGTATTCAAACTTACTTTCACACACCTGCTGTAACCACATACATAATTAACTTCATTAATAATAATAAAAATTAATGCTGCATCTTTGTGCTTTATTTTCAACCATCTTCCTGGATTAGGGCTTACCTAGTGATTTTGTTTTGTTTTAATTAAATGTGCTTGGTATACACTAAGGTACCGTCATAGCACATTCAGTTATTTCCAAGATTAAATTTGAAGTGTTGTTCCAACTATGACGATTTCTTTCTGTTTTTTTTTTTGGGGGGGGGGGGATTCCGGTTGTAGGGCCTGAACTCAGCCTGGGCACTGTCCCTCAGCTCTTCAGCTCAAGGCTAGCGCTCTACCACTTGAGCCACAGCGCCACTTCCAGCTTTTTTCTTTTTTGCTTATGTGGTACTGAGGAATCGAACCCAGGTCCTCAGGCATGCAAGGCAAACGCTCTACCACTGAGCCACCTTCCCAGCCCGACCATTTCTTTTTTGTTTCTGGTTTCTTGTTTGCTTTTTTTGTACCAGCGCAGAGGTTTGAACTCAGGACGTCATGTTCTCACTGGGTTTTTTTTTCCTTAGCTCATGGCTGGTGGTTCACCAGTTGAGCCACAGCAGCACTTTCAGCTTTTTGCTGGTTTGTTGGAAAATAAAAGTGTTCACAGGCTTTCCTGCTTGGACTGGCTTCTAACCATGATTCGCAGATCTCAACCCCATGTAGGATTGATTACAGCAGTGAGTACCAAGCTCATTATGTCTTGAAGATCACAGAAGTGTGGAAGCTTATCCAGTCTAGCTTCACCGCTTGTGTAATGATAAGCGCACTATCAGGACACCACGAGGAAGAGATGTCAGCTGACTGTCCCAAGGTACTTTGTAAGGGGCAACATTGGTCCAGAGCTTGTCCCTGGCTTCCTCCACTGCTGCTATTTCATTTGGCCTTCCTGCTGTCAGTCACACATCTAGCCCACCCAGTCATTGTCTACAGACTTTTCTTTTACAGATTATCCACAATGCTTAGGGCCTTAAGTCTTGGATTTGGGATATTTGCATATACATAATAGGCTGTCTTGGGGATAGAATGAAATTTAAGCATGATACTCAAATCTGTCTTATACCTACAGCCTAAAGAAACTTTCTAAAATATTTCCAGCCCACCTGCGGTTTGAGGTCAGGTGTGGAATCTTCTACCTGTGTCCTTGGTGCTCCAAAAGTTTGGACTGGGGGCATTTCAGATTTCTTGCTTTTAGGCCTGGATTAGCACCAGAATTAACGAATGAATGTGCAGGTTTTAAATAATTTAGATCTCAGAGGCCGTTTTTAAGTAAGAAACACCTTGCAAATCACAGGTTTCCTGTGAGAGAACTGACAAAACGTGAAATGGGCCGGCGCTGGTGGCTCAGCCAGTCATCAGTCCTAGTTTCTCAGAAGGGGTGAGGATCATGGTTCAAAGCCAGCCTGGGCAGGAAAGACCTTGTGACTCTTACCTCCCATTAACCACCAACCAAAAGGCCAGAAGTATAGATGGGGCTCAAATGATAGTGTACCAGCCTTTAGTGAAAAAGCTAAGGGACAGCCCCTAGGCCCTGAATTCACTAGTAATGATAATAGTTAATAGTAAGAATAATAACCATGCACTGGCTATCTGAGTATCTCCTTGCGTGTAAGGCCATTCCCTGCTAAGCTCCCCAGCTTGTCCTGTCTCCCAGCCTAGGGGTTGGAGTACCTTTACTTTGATACATTCTGAAACACAGTCCCAGGAACTCTTAGAATGCTGGATGGTTAAGTTTAGAGGGCAGATGCCAGCCCAGGGAGGATACAGACAGCAGGGCAGCGCCAGGCCGGGTGGCTGTTTAATGGGTAGTTGATTCTCTCTAAACTGGATAATACCTTTGGAGGGGGGGGGATGTCATATTTCCATTGACTCATAATTTTTTTCCACTCTTGAAAAGAGGTTTGTGCACACCGCGCGTATTTCTCCAGTTAAAGTTGAAAATTCAACTCATCATATTTACACAATATAAAAAAAAATCCATTCTGCCTTGTTTTTAATTGCAAATTCGACTCCGGGGACTAGTTCTTCTGCTTAAGAGGCTGCCCCGCGCCTGCTCCTAGAGAAGCAACTGCAGTCAATTATGGTAATGAAATGTCAATAAATATAAAAATTTAATACAGTCGGCACTGGGTGAGTGGCAGATGAGGACTCGCCTCCCAGACAAATTTGCTGCTTCTGCAAATATTAAATGCACCTAAAAGAGTATCTGGTTGCTTGAGTGCTCGCTCGTCAAACAAGGAAGGGAACACCAGGAAGCAACGGAGTTTTCCCATTAGGCTGCAAACACCACAACAGAGCCCAGCCCTACCCCTGACAGCCACCTCTCAACGTCTTAACTTCTGATCATGAATTGAATTTCTTACATCCCAACCAACAACCTAAGCTTGCTGTTTGGCAGTGGGGTGGGTTTTTTTTTTTTTTAATGAAAAAGGGAATACGAAGCCCTTTCCCTCCACACTAAGGAATTCTCCCTAGAAATACTGTCATTTCTGTCTTTAGAGAGAGATTTGTTAGTTTGATAGGATGTCGCATAATCACCTGAAACCACGATAGCTGTATGATCTGGCTTTTAAGGAACTAGCACACAGAGATATTCAAGAGCTGGGCAACGTGGCACATGACAGTAATCCCAGTACTCAGAATGCTGAGGTAGGTGGATCTTGAGAGGCCAACGTAGGTTTTGACAGGATGCACATTGACTGATGCCTGCGCCGGTTGCCCCCTGCATTTGTGCGGCCCCTCCCCGTTGTGTTCTGGGTGGGGGAGCGCAGGGCGCACTTCCGCGCACCGTGGTTCTAAGCGGAGGCTGTGTGTTGCAGGTGGATTACTCGCTGGTGGCCTCGCAGGCCGGCGCCACGCTCCACAGCCTCCTGAGCCACGCCCAGGAGCTGGTGACCAAGCTGCGCTCCCTGCAGTTTGATCAGCGAGACTTCGTGTGTCTGAAATTCCTGGTGCTCTTTAGTTCAGGTAAGAACATCTTGTCGAATTCTCGGAATAACCAGACACGACTCAATCATGCCAAACATGGAGGTTTTTTGACAGCTAGATGTGGGTTGAGGGTTTGGTTTTTTTTTTTCCCCCTGCCAAGATAATTCACCTATTCCACACAAATCATGAACTCATCAAACATGAATACATTTTGATATACACACGTCTGCTTGGTTCTTCGTCCCTGAGGGGAGAGATGGCAGGGTAGCGGTTAACTCACTTGGAATTCTGCCATTCCTCCCATGACAGACGTTCAATAGTCAGACAAAGCTGTGACAAGTGGTCTGAGGTAAGTAGCAGAATGTCCCGGGCTTCCTGCCGTCGATGGCTTCTCTGCGCCCTCGGCCGCAGCTTCTCTACCTACCGTTGCTTTTATTCTTCTCAAATATGGATCATAATTAAAAGCCTGTTTTACAATCTTCTGTCGGGATTAACTAGAGAATGTTTACAAGCAAATGCACCAGCCTGCAACTGTAAAGGATAGCAGTTGTCAAGGGAAAAAATGTTTCTTTAACAAAGCTTTGGAGACGAAAGATAAGTAAGCAAGACAGATTAGCTAAATCAAGGTTCTCAGTGAGCCAGCTGAGAAAAATCACCAGTGCTTGGAATAAAAAAAGGATTAAGGAGATGGATTTTTATTGACTTCAAAGGAACAGATTTTTCTGCCTGTCCCATAGTTGATTTCTGTATTTTGTGGGCTTAATAAAGCCAACTTAAATAAACTTTTTTGCCAAGTTCATTTATTCTCATTGGCAGACAGCTGAGGGAGGCAACTTTTCCTTGAATGAAAAAAAAATTTTCAGAAGAAGCACAAATCAGATTCCTCCTGCATATGTTTTTTCTCTAGTCTTTCATTATAAGACAGTTGTGACTTCGTATCCCAAGAAATAAAACAATAAACTGCAAAGAAAACAGATGTGTGTGCTCACCAACTTGGTCATTTTTGTTTGAAAATTCCCCTGGACAGCACCACACAACTGTTCCTAATAAAAGAATACTTTGAAAGAATAGAACCCGAGTTAATTTTTCTCGTATAGTCAACATTACGTTGTGTTTTTTTTTTTAAAGAATTTTCCTATTTTTGGAAAGTTGATAAATATAGCAGAAAGAGATGTCACTGAAAATGTAAAGAGACAGCGACTCTGTTGAATGTAGTGTTCACAGGCTTATACTGCCAGTGTGTGTTTTCTCTATTAGTCATAGGAATCGAGAAAGTTCCATGCAAGTTATGTCTAGGGCTTTTAACCCAGGAATAGTTCTACGGAGTTACTAGCATAATTAGCACAGGCCTGTTTTCCATACTCTCAAAATGTTTCAGATTTAGAGCAAGATCAGAGCCTTTTAAACTAGGACGTTTAATCGGGTAATTAATCTTAGTGATCAAATATTTAAAGTTGCTTCAGTTCCTGGCATTTCAAATGGGTGGTAGAACCAGATTACAGCTGAGGATATCAGTTCCTTAACTGCCAGCCACATTACAGATTGCTTCTTGATTTTATCATTCTTTTGAGACCGGATTGGCCAAAACGGAGAGTTGAGGGAAGCCCAGCGCAAGTGGCTCACACCTGTAACCCTAGCTACTCAAGCAGCTGAGATCTGAGGATTGAAGTTCCAAGCCAATCTGGGCAGGAAGGTCTGTGAGACTCTTTTCTCCAATTAACCACCAAAAAGCTTAGATGTGGAGCTATGGTTCAAATGGCAGTTCACTAGCCTTGAGCACAAAAGTTCAGGGAAAGCATCCAGATCCTGAATTCAAGCCTCAGGACCGGTATACGTGTGTGTGTGTGTGTGTGTGTGTGTGTGAGAGAGAGAGAGAGAGAGAGAGAGAGAGAGAGAGAGAGGTCCTTGAACTCAGGGCCTGGGTATTGTCCTTGAGGTTTTTCACTCAAGGATAGCACTCTATCACTTTGAGCCACAGCTCCACTTCTGGTTTTCTGGTGGTTAATTGGAGATAAGAGTCTCATGGGGCTTTCCTGCCTGGGCTAGCTTTGGACTGTGATTCTCAGATTTCAGCCTATTGAGTAGCTAGGATTACCAACACAAGCCACCAGTGCCTGGCTGTACTATGTGTTTAAATCCTGCTAAATCACCATATTTTGTTGCCTAACTATGGTATGATCACCACTGAAACATTGGCAGAAAAGGAAATTTTTTAAGTTGGCCAGTTAAAATGGATGGCTGGATAAAGAGGCCAAAAAAAAATTTTAATGGTATTGTTTGTTTACAGTTGTATACTTCAAACTCCTAACAAGGAGTCAAAGTGGCTGACAAATGTACTGTCTGTCCACAAGTAAACTTAGAGAAAGAAGTGCAGCACTGTAGGGGTCGTTAGGCATACAAGGTAGGCTGGGAAAACTCCCCCAAACCAAGCTCTGGAAAACAGAACTATGGATTAGGCCCCTTGGTCTTAAATGGCAGCATCTTGGAATAATGATGTTTCTGTTCAAGCTCATCGGGAAAATGAATGTGCACAAAGTAAGCCCATATGGCTGCCCTGGGCCTGAGGTTTTCTTGGCCAGCATGCGCAGTGGCTGGGGCCGCTGGACTTTGTCATATCCCACTGGGCAAGGGAAAGAGCTGGATTCCCAGGGCTCCCTTGTTCAGCAACTTGATACCTGATGTTCTCACCCATTGGCTAGTGCTCTTCCAGTGGAGCCACGCCTCCAGCCCTCCCACTGCATTTCGAGTCTCCTTTGTGTTTACTCTCTTCACCACATGATGAGTGCCTTACCTAGGAGAGATCTGCAAGAGCCTTCCTGACAGCCAGCATGCATGCATGAACGAATAATTCACAGCTGTATCGCTCGGCCAGCAAGTTGGCAAGGATTCATAGTGAACCGGAACATGTCAAAAGGCCTTTAAAAATCATAAGCACGATGGAAAAAATGAGGTAGTGTGAGGCAGAGCCGAGTATTTTTCGTGTTGTCGGTTGTGGTTCCTTTAAAGGACACACATTTAACACTAGACAGAGAGGGCTTTGCCTTGGCCTCTGGTTGATCAGATTCCCGGGCTGCGTGGCCCGTGGATACTGTGTGTGTTCTTGCTTCTGGTACACTACTGGACAGATAAGGGTTTTAAATAAATATTGCATTCATAAATGTATGCAACTTCTAGGTTGAAAATATAATGGGAAATAGAAAAAAATTGTAAAAATAAAGAATTGAATTAGCCAGGTGCCCCTTTGGCTCACGCCTATAATCCCAGCTACTCCAAAGGCTGAGATCTAGAGGACCTCAGTTCAAAGCCAGCCTGTTGGGAAAGTGTGTGAGACTCTTTAATCATGTAATCAGCAGAAACCCAGACTGGAGGTGTGGCCCAAGTGGTAGAATACAAGCTGAGCACACAAACGTAAGGCCCTGACTTTACGTAAAACCCCAGTGTTGGAAAAAGTAATAATAATTAGTTAATTGAAAAGAATCACTTTAACAAACAAGTGTAAAGATTGGAGAGAGGCTGAGAAATAGCTGCTACAGACAACTATCAGAGGATTTGACATCTTTTCCTTTAGAAAGCTAGGATATAAATCTTGATATTAAGAGAAGGGTTATTATAAGGGAAATTGAGACAAAGCAGAGGTCTTTACGTTTCCTTCACGAAGAAAATACTAAGCTAAGTACCTGTGGCACACACCTGCGATCCTCACTCTTCAAGAAGCGGAGGGGAGGAGGATCTCAGTTGGAGGCCATCCCAGGCCTGCCGTAGCTGTCATCCCAGCTAAGTAGTAGACTGAGATCTAGAGAACCACAGTTCCAGGCCAGCTTCAGCACCAAAGTTTGCAAGACCCCATCTCAACAGAAAAACAAACTGGGCATGATAGCATGTCCCTATCATCTCAGCCCAGCTATGGCCAGGAGTGTAAATGGTAGACTGAGGTTCAGGTCAGCCCAGACAACAAGTGTGAAACAAAAAAGGCTAAAGGCATGGCTCAAGTGGTAGCTCACATGCCTAGCAAATGAGGTCAAATGCCAGACCCACTAAAAGACAAAAAAAAAAAATAATGATCACAGATTGATTTAATTATTGGTGATCAGCATTCAAGTTGTTTGAAAACACCACAGCATTACAAGTGTCGAATACCAAATTGAGCCGTAAGGAAGTGCTCCTGATAACCTCCCTTCAGTATTGGTTAGTTAATAATAAAATGTCTTTGCATGAGTAAATCACTTCATTTCCTTGATTCATTCACTGAGGGGCATCTGGGTTGATTCCGTATCTTAGCTATGGTAAACAATGCTGCAATGAACATGGTTGTGCTGCTGACTTTAGTGTGGACTAGTTTGTGGTCATTTGGGTAAATGCCCAGGAGTGGGTAAATGCTGGGTCATGGGGAAGTGCTTCTCTCTTACAGAGGGAGCAGGCCTAGGGGAATATGTTCTCTGGTTTTGTTGATGATGAAACAAAAGTAGATGCTACTCAACTGTCTAGGGTTGAAGCCAGGTCTGAAACCTACAACCCCCTTGGCCAGTCAGTTAGCTTCTTTGCTTCAGAGCCCTCATCACTGAAAGAGGCCTTGGAACTCATCAGGCAGTATTTAAAAATGACTACTGTACATGCTGATTAAAGCACCATTGATGTAGGCAAAATGGTGTCAGGACCATCATATGAAATATGCGGACAGAAGGGAAATCCCAACTTTGGGTCATTCCTCAGCATACTGGATAGAGATTGGCTATAATACTACCCTAAGCCCATTTCAGACCCCTGAGGTCTGAGGATAGCCATGCTCCTTCTATAAAGTGCATTCTATTTGTGCATATTCCCTTCAGATCATCTCTGCATGACTCAGGGTGACTGATAGAGTGGCAATCCTGTGTCAGTAATTGTTAGACTGGATTGTCGAGGGAATGATGACAAGGAAAATGTCCGTTCACGGTCAGTAGAGACCCACTTGTGTTCTGTGGGAAGGGGTCACGTGGCGTGGAGGGGCTGACTGAAATTATAGAGCTTCGAATTCTCTTGGCTTCTAAATATGAGAAGTT